TCAAATATAATATTAGTAGGCATTTTTGCATTATAAAAATCACTAAGAATTTATTTGTGAGAAATACAACTTTGTAACATAGCATAGGTAGAATTCCATCTATGTTTAACATCTAATATAAAATGTTTACATTTTAAAGCATAATTTTGACATAAAAATTTAAATTCTTGTTTTTTTTGCTCCAAAACTTTTAATATGTATAATACAATTTCTAATTTTAGAAATACGAGTAGAAATAATATTTAAAGCATCCTGCATACATAAATTTAAGATGTGAAATGCACATCTAATATGAAATAATTTATCATTTAAACATGATTTTAATTGAGATTTTAAAATATTTATTACTGAATCATTATTACTATCAATATCAAAACTAATAGAAAATAATTTGTTGTTAATTCCATAAGCATATAAAGTATTTAAAATACTTGAAGCAATAATTGGGCTAGTATGTGGCCGTTCAAGCCTAGTAAAACTTAAAATTCTTTTATTTAAAAGCTAATTTTCATCAATAAAATGACCAATAACACAAATATAACTTATATTAAATTTATAAGTCCAAATATCAGAAGTAATTGCAACTTTTGAATTAAGATTTAATAACATATAAATTAAATTTTGTTTATATGAATAAAAAATTTTAAGAGCATCTGATCTAATAGTATTCCTATAAACTTTTTTATATTGTGGATTTATAGAATTATGTAACCATTTTTCAAGTTTAGTATCTTCAGCTAACAAAAATGGTTGTTCAGCATGTACAATGTATTCTATTAATTCTTAACTCATTTTTTCTTAAGAATATTTAAAAATACCAACACCCCCACTCAATTTGTGTTTGTATTATTTCTCTCCATTCTTCTTCTTCTTCTTCTTCTTCTTTTTCTTCTTCTTCTTTCTCATGGGTGAGCAAATGTTTGTCAAATGGCCAATACCACCCCTACTACAATAGCTAAAATTGTTTCTACATTTTTGGCAAACAATTCTTTTCCCTTTCACTAAACCTTCTCTACTTTAAATATTTCCCAAATCAGGTTAATAAACTTAGTGACATTCTTTTCTTTCCCCTAGTATCAACACTAGGGATGAAAGTTTCGTTAATATCAATAGCATTCATATAAGTGCTAATACTACCATGCTGCGACTAAATATCGTCGACATTAAAAATGGCAATAGGGCGAGGACGGGGAGCCTCTCTCCATCCTCGTCCTCGCGAAAATCCCCATCCCCATCCCCATCCCTGTCCCCATCCCCACTAACGAAGACAATGTTATCCCCATCCCCATCCCCGCGTGGATCCCCATTCCTCATAATTTTTTATAATGTTAATCAATTTGTTTTTGTCTTTTATTTTATTTAAAAAATAAAAAATAAAATAATTCAAATTTATAATCCTACTATAAAATATTCAACCATATTTTTAAAAATATTAATATAGATGTATGTGTACATATATACTTATATAACGTATGCATACATATTATATATTAGTGGGGATCCCATGGGGCGGGGATCGGGATCCCTATAGGGTGGAGAGTGCTCTCCCCATCCCCGTCCCATCCCTGCTAACGGGGATGAAAATTACTCCATTCCTGTCCCTGCGAGGGGAAAGTCATCCCCATCCCCGCCCCATTCAGGGCAAACCCCCATGGGGATTGAGGAAATGGGAAAATTGCCATCCCTAGTCGACATTGAACATGTTGGGAAATTGATTTTGGGAGGAGTCGGCCATTTTTTAAAATTAAAAAAATAAAAAATAATTTAATTATATTTACCTGAATTATCGACTCAAAATCCCAACTTTATTTCAATGGTTGAAGCCTTTCAACTCCAAGATTCAAGCCTCCCAAATTGCTAACTTGAGATACTTGAACTGTTGAACAAGCCATCTTTTGTTGAAACTTTAATAAAGTTGAAAATTGAAAAATGAAAAAATATATGAAAGATTGAGAGATTGAGACACTAGAGAATGAGAACTAGAGGAGATTAAAGGAATTGTTGAATTGGTGTAATGAGAATGGTGGAGGATAGGGCTACTTATAACAATTGAAAATCATTCATTTACCCAAAATACCCTAATTGCTAAGAGGGGTATTTTAGTTACTGTAAAGTTAATCACTTTACCCAAAATGCCCTCAAACTAGTTGCTTTCTCCCCCCCCCCCAAAAAAAAAAACAAAACCAAAATACATAAATACCCTCTATATAACTATTTGTAACTGATGGGGGGTGTTTCTATTAAAAAACCCTCAAAAAGTTGAAACTAACTATTAGGAACCCCCCCAACGGCTAGTTCATCAAGCGAGCCAAGTGTGGCCCACTACAAACTTGTGGGTCATGCCGTATTGACACATGGGTCGTGGGCGGCATGGCGCACAATCGTGCCATGCCGTGCCAACCCATGGACCTAGAACCCTAGGCCCAACATCGCCCAGGCCATCATGTCAGGCCTGACATGGCTTGCGTGCTATCATACTGTGCCGTGCCAGACCACGGGTAGCACGACCGATTTGCACCTCTAGGTAGAGTAAGTCAATTAGCTAAACTGGAGTACTTTAAGAAATTTGCCCTTCAAATAATTAGTTCTCGTTTCATTTTTGCACTGGTGTCCAGGTGTTAGGAACCATGTTTTGCCCCCAGCATATTTCACATCAATCAAAAGCTAACCAGAATTTTATGTCATCGCAATTATATACAAGAGAGGCTAACTTTACAATAAGACTACTAGTAACCCTCATTTTTTCTCTTCGTATACCCATGAAAGAATGGCAACCTATTTCTGGCCCAATAATCAAAATGGAAAGAACCGTAAAGAAAAGAATAAAAAGAAAATACAAAGACGGTACCATGAAATTAGTTAATTAGATGAAGAAACTTTTCCTTGTAACCCATCTCAGCTTTCTTCCAAAGTCAATAAGATGAATAACCTCCTCTCTAGCTTTGTTTAGGATCCAAGCCCTCATTTTCGTATCTTTCAAGTATTATGTTACAGTTGTTCATCGTGCGTGCATCGAGGAGGCTGTGATTCCATAATTTAATCATAAACAACCTCCAACACCTGCTTAAACCGTAAGGGCATTAACACAAGTCAAGTAGTTCATAGAAACCATTCAAATTTCGAAGATAAAGTACTAAACAAGCAACAGATCAGGATATTACAACTTACGAAGTCCTAGAAGAGGGATGGTGTAAGAAATTGTATGCAAATAATTAATAAAATAAACGAACAATCTGACTCACCACCATACCAACCAGTGTTTTGTTGCACAGTACTTGAAATGTTGACATGGTCAAACTTACCCCTTTTACATGTGTCAGCACCATTTTCAAATTTTAATAGTTTGATTTTTCATATTTTTATTTGAGAAGTTGAACAGTTGAACTGTAAGACCCTAACCCAGTCACCAAAATGGTTGTCTGATCAGAGTCTTAACAATATTGATATAAACACAATTCAAAAAATTAGATGGGTCCTCCATATTACCAGTTCATTCTCTTACACTTACGCAAGTTCAATGTCCTGGCAATACTGCTTTTGTATAGACACAGCACATCAAGTAAAGAACTAATAATTTAAAATGCAAGAACAATTACAGTATGAAGAACCTGAACAAGTTTTTTTTGAACGATAGAACCTGAACAAGTTTTTTTTTTTTCTGAAGATAAGTAAAGAAAAAAAATTATTGCTAAAATAAAAGTTTACAGCTTAAGAATGATGACAAGAGGTCACCCCCAAACCAAGAGAAACAATAAAATAACATAGCGAACTTTAAGGCAAAAAATACAACAAAAACCCAGGATTTTAAGAATTCAATGAACACCAGAAATCTGCCCCAAGTCTTCTTTCTTTAATCCTTGAAATTCTGGCAGAATCAACGCCCAACCAATCACTGATGAGCTGATCCGAGCCAGCACCTCTTTGAATCTTTTCTTCTTATTCTCAAATATTCTTCTATTTCTTTCCTTCCAAACTTCCCAGCATACCACAAATGAAATGCAACTCCACATGACCTTAGAACCACCCAGAATTCTTGGCCAACAGCCAAAGATTTCAAACTGATCTGAAATTGACTACATACCCACTTTAGACAGCTTGAAGTAGGACCATATTGGGGAAATGAAGCTGCATAGGTAGAACAAATGCATAATGTTTTCCTCTCCAGACAAGAAAAGAGCACATCTGCTTGGACATTGAAATCATTGACCATTTAGGATGTCCTGAGGCAGTATGTACCCCCTGGCTATTAGCCAGGCAAAGGCTTCCACCCTTGGGGGCACTGGTTTCCCCCACACTCCCTGAATTGGATAGGCTTCCACCATATTTCTGATCAGAATAGAGTACATTGACTTGACTGTAAATTTTCCATCATTGCATTCCTTCCACCATCTGATGTCACCATCTGACGGATTAATTTCCAGAGATTGCAATCTTGACAGCAGATCCAATCATTCCTCAATTTCCCACTCGAGGAGAGGCCTTCTAAAGTTTGGAGTCCACACCACAGAACCAGTTGAGACTTCATAACATTCAGAAATAGGCACTCCTTTCCAACCCAACCTGTACAACCTTGGACAAATCTCACAAAATTTCCCAATTCCAGACCAATCATCCTCCCAAAACCTAATGCTAGACCCACTCCCCACCCTCCAAGTTATAACATGAGCGAACAAATTATAACATGATTAACTTCAAGATACAAGTTGAGATGACTAAACTTTCTTTTCCATTTGAACCAATAATACATGTAAAATTTACTCAATAAAAAAAATCTCAAAGGGAACTCATATCTTTGGAAGAAAATGCTCAACAAGGCAACAACAACCATACAACTATGATGTTCCCCAGCCTGTACTAAAGTGACCAGCCAGGCAGCCATAATTAGCTTACACATGCTTTCCAGGTATTGGACACAGGTTGCTGGCTCTACTGACTACATTTCCACATGAATGCAAAGTGCATGTCTAGAATCTAAGATCAAGTCTAGTTCATCAATACCAAATGAACATTTTCCATCAATAAGATATTTTTTGATGAATGATTTTCCATCAATAAGATTGAATATACATATCAGCACAAAATTTTGGAACTAGGTCTAGCAAGTACTTTACTGCTTTATATGCAAAATTTTTGCATAAAAATAGGCAAGAGATGCACTACCGGATAAGATTAGGGGCTCGGACAAGGTCCTTCCCATGCAATCTCGAGAACGCCTCACAAGCCCATGGAATATGACCATCTGCCAGCACTCTGCCACCACAAACCAATAGCTTTTTCAGGAAATATAAAAGAAAATGAAGATAAATAATCACCAACCACATTGTGGAGCAATGTAATTAAAAACAAAATATGAGACTGCAACTCAAGATTTTTAACACAGTAAATCACCCTTTATTACTTCTTGCATGTGTTAGAAGGTTGTATATTGAAAAAAAAAAAAAGAAAACACCGGATACATCAAATTGTAACAATTATCTAGTGTGATACAGAGGCATTTAGGTCAGTACAGGCTTGAAATTGCAGGTGGTTCATCTCACAGCCAAGAGTAGGCCACCTTCCATGTCATCTTTGTTGATAGGAGTGTGTATTTTAGTATTATTTTATGTTTTCTTTGTTCTGGTACCATGACTGGTGGGCCTCATTGTATTGCAATAGGATGTATATACGCTAACTTGTTATATTCCTGCTAATGAGGGGCATTTATGTAATTATATATAGTTTTGTCCTATTCAATGAGACTTGCTCTTTGGGGTTGGGGGCATTCTATTACACCCTCCCAAACACTTGTTCTTCTTCTTAGTTGCTGTAGGGAGAATCACAAAATCAAGCAAATTATAACCAAGTTTAAAAAAAAAACAGCGGAAAAATATTTTTTTCCCTCTTTGTGTGAATCTGTTAGGAAACAATTTAGTAGAGCTTAAACCAAAGAACAAGCACACAAGAACACAACCAAATTTACGTGGAAAAACCTTCCCGGTGTGGGAAAGAAAAAACCACGGTCACCCAAAAAACTTTCACTATCAAGAAAGTGGTTGTACAAGGGTTCTCTCTAGATAAAACTAGAGGCATACAATCAGAAAATCATCAAGAAAATATGTTTCTTGGAAACTAACAAATATCTCAAGATAATGGAGAAATCTCACCCAAAACGGAGGTACTGTTCGCGGACTCAGATCTCACAAACCAGTGAGCCAAACTAGATCTCCACCGTTCAGATTGAAGAACCTTAAGTCGCGAACATGCCTGCAAAGTTTCAGCTCAATCGGACCACAAACGACCTTCAATCGGAGCACAAGATGAAAAACTGCGCAGACTGGAATTTCAAGAATCCGCTCTTCTCTCTCCGTTTTTGCACGGGATTCTCTTCCTTTTTCTTCTCTTCTCCCAATCTTTTTGGCAACTAACACCACTAAAAGGTTATTTCCTTTTCCTATTTTCATTTGAACAAGAATACCCTCATCCATGGGCTCAAAAATACCACATGGGCTTCTTGGGCCATCCTCCACATAAGAGGGAAACCCAACAGTTGCATACTATGAACCCAGGTCAAGTGCTTTCTCCGTGATGTAATTAAAGGGTAGTGTTCATTCAAGAGCTTCCAATGAGGGTTTCAAGTTTTATTTCGAAGGAGAAATCATTGAAGGTATTTTTGAGAAGATTTTTACTTGGTTTTGGGATTTTATCCGAATTTTTAAGGGAAGGAATTTTGGGTTTTCATATGTTCTTGAGATTGTAAACATACAGGGTCAAATTTGTTTGTCCCTGTATATCTCTTGACCTAGTTGAAGTTTGGGCTTGGGATTCAAGATTCCCAGCTTTTTATTTTTTTTGTGATATACCAAATCTGCTCGGTTACTATTTTATGGTAGAAGTTCCCTCTAGTTCAGGTCCTGAAGTTTTCTTGCTGGAAAAACTATAATAGCGTTGGATAAGTTATTATAGGTTTGATGGTTCTAGCTACAATTTGTGACATTTCCAGTTCCGATATTTTGTGAAGGGAAAATGCCTTTGGGGATTCCTGAATGGTACGTTAAGCCGGTTGATAAATCTGCCAAGGGAATGGAAGAATGGGAAGTCGAAAATGCCAAAATTATATCATAGTTTCTAAGGCTCAGTTTGGAAGGAGTACAAATACAAATATGTAAAGTACAAAACCTAGAATTTTATATTGTTTTGTATGTATTTGCACTGTACATATTTGTATTTGTACTCTTCCCAAACTAAGCCTAAGGGAAGAAATTCGTATGCAAATACAAGGTTTTGCATTGCACATATTTGTATTCACACTCTTCCCAAACTGAGCTTAGCTGTGTTTGGTTGCTGTGCAATTTTATTTGCACTAGTACAAATGCATGGGAGTGCAAATGTAAAAAAAATGCAAATTCTTGTTTAATTTTGTTTTGGATTTTACTTTATTCTGCTTCATGTCTTAATTTACTTCATTTGTACTGCAATCAAACAAAATGAGCTAAAATTTGAAACAAAAATAGGTCAAAATTTACACTCAAATCATTTGCACTGTCATGGTTTTGCATTAGTACAAATTTATTTGCATTGCAACCAAACACAGCCTAAGGGAAGAAATTCAAACTTAAAGCAAAGACAAAACCTGATGTAGCCCTTGTAGCACAATCCTTTAAGGGTAAAGGAGTAGGTGGTAGGGATTTTTCTTCTGTATAATATCATGAACGCAAGGAATATGGCCACATTGCATTCTGTTGGAGTCGGCTAAATACAGGGGTAGTTTGGTCATTTCGTTTTATATTAAGAGTGTGGTGTAATGTCTTTTATATTCTGGTTTAAGTACCATGTCCCATTCTTAATTAGGGGCATAAGTATCTTTGTGGTTTTTATTCAGGAACATATAAATAATACCTGGCCGACTAGAGAACCCTTTTTTATCTAGTTCGAACCAGTTTTCTCTTCGTCTTCTTCTTCTTAAAGTACCCCTTTGACTAGAATACTGCTATTTTTGAATTTATTCCTCTCTAATTGTGAGGGCACAAAATGTAATTTGAACTACTACATTTCTCCTCATTCAATTCCTTTTCATCAAGTTTTAAATAAAGTACCCCTAAGTTTTAGGAAATTGATTTACTCTACTCCTACTATTTAGAAATTGCCTTAAATTAACCCCAAGTTTTCTGACAATCTATACTACTATTAAAAGTGTGAATGAGAGTGTGGAACTTTTGTTTGACTGAAATACCCCAATTTTTGAATTTGGTCCCTCTCTAATTGTAATGACAAATGTAATTTGAACAACCACTTTTCTTCTCATTCAAATCCCTCTCATTAAGTCTTATTTTAAGGTATTAATTTCCGTTAACATTCATTGAATCCTATTCTTGACTAGAATACCCTACTTTTGAATTTGGTCTGTCTTTAATTGTGAGGACACAAAATGTAATTCGAACTATTACATTTATCCTCGTTCAATTCCCTCTCATTAATTAAGTCTTATATTTAGGGTATTAATTCCCATTCTTTTAATGAATCCTATATTAATTAATCATCTTAAAGAAAATAATTGACAAAGAATAATTATTTTTATTGATGATAGATATAAAATATAAATTTAAAACCAACCTAAAATTGTAGTTGTTTTCCTATTTGGTGGCAAGTCAACAATTCAACCTTTTGGATCAAATGTGTCATTTGATGTCATAAACTCATAATTAAATAATAATACAAATAAAAAAAAAAGATAAAAATACACAAAAGTATAAAAAGAAAAAAAATTGTACAAAACATTTGGGCAGCGGACACATCTCTAATATCGTATATTCATCATATTAAACAAAATAAGTGTGACAAATAAGAATAATTTTTATAGTGATAGAAATATAAAAAATGTAGAAAATTTTGGAAACATATTATTTACTATCATCATCTTCATCATCAAAAATTGCCATGTCCAAAGCATGTGCACACTTGCTAGTAGTCTAGAAAGGTGTAATAATTTTCTTTAATAATTCACAAAATATTAGTGCATATTTTCATATATTTCACAATATTTCCACAATGTCTATACTTTTTACAATATTTTCATCTAACATTTTCAGCATTTCAACATATGTCTTGTATTTGGGTGACTGGTATTTCTATTGTATAGACATTTTAAACCTTGTATGAACTAGTTCATAGTGATGTATGGGGGCTTGCACTTGTCTTGTCTCAAATGGGATTTAAATATTTTGTATTGTTCATTGATGATTATACTCATTTTACACGGATCTATTTTTTGAGAAAGAAATGTGAAGATCTTCCTTTAAAATTTTCCGTGCTATAGTCAAGACCCAATTTTCTACTAAAATCAAAATTCTTAATTTAGATTTAGGGTGAGAGTACATGGATAGTTAATTTCAAGACATACTACACTCATATGATATTCTATCCCAACATACATGTCCTGGCACAGACCACAACAAAACAGTGTAGCAATGAGGAAGAATCATCAACTCCTTAAAATGACTTAGACACTTCTTTAGGATTCTGGTGCTCCTGGGCTAATGCTGTAGCTACCTCAATATATCTTGTGTAAGTCATGCCCTTCTACTTTTTCCAACGTTTTTTCCATTTGAACAATTACATCATTGTCCTCTAGACTACTGAACTTTACATGTTTTTTGTTTTATTTGTTTTGTTTACCTTCCTCCACATGAGTACTAAATTGTCAACCCAATCTGCTATGTGTTTTTCTAGGTTATAGTCCTAATCACAAGATTTCCCTTTGTCATGATCCAACTCCTCCAGTGGATGGCCTATCAATAAATCCACCATCAGAAAGTACATTGCCTCCTTCACCTCCTCCTTTGTGTTGTTCCTCTCGTATATTTCATCATCTGGTTGCTATGGGTTTCCTTCCACCCATAGTTCTTTTCTTTATTGTTGTTTGGGCGTACAGATATTCCCTGAAGTTATTGAGAAGCCCTTTTTGTTCCTTGTCAGAAGGAAGCCCTTTTTGTTTTGGTGTATATTCATGAAGACTTATTATAAATATAATTTTAGGTTTAATTTAAAGAAAAGCATAAAATTTCAAGTTCTCTTAACAAAGAAGAGAGATTTACAAGGAACAATATCACCAAAACATCTAATCAGCAATATTACAACACCTATAACATGACTTAGTGATGCCAATGAGATGGGCTTAGTGCGGGGCTGCCTCAACCTGTACTTGATGCGGGCCAGGAAGGCAGGAACACTTGACCCTATGGGACTGGATCAAGGCAGCTTTACCACTTGACCCAACCCACTGACATCCCAAATGCAGTATTTTATGAAACTTACTTCGGACCAGCTATATACAAAATGTATTTGCAACTCCGTGAATTATGCAGATAAACAAGATATGAAGACAAAGATAAGATCAACTTAGATAAGCAGACATTATGGTCCTACAACTACAAGTTTTGCCAGGGCACCTCTAGTTGGGAACAAAGCGTATGTATTCCTTACTCAACAGGACACTGTGAATGGGGACAAAATGGTACAAATAGAAACTGGTGAAAATACTCACTCATGTGAAAATAACACATACTCCATGAACTTGTCAACATATTAAGCAAATGAGGAGATACATGGATGACACAAACAACAGAAAACAGTATCCCTAACCAATGAGCACACTTCCAAAACAATCACCACCTGTGCTTTCAGGTTCCTCCACCTGTTCTTTCGGTCTGATATGATTAGATTTTAATGCCATGAGTAGGTGGAATCAAGAGGACTGGTGGGTTTTCCGGTATGCTTTATAGAAAGCATAATTTATACAGAGATTTTATCATTCTATAACTATATTTTTGTTTATAAGCAACAAAAGAGAGAATTTTATTGCAAAATAAAATGCCATAAACTATTCAAATTAGGACATCCAAAAACTAAAGAAAGGGAAAAAGCATTTTGCTAACCGCTTTATAACAAGAGCATGAGATTTTACAATTCACACCCTGGGCCTAGCATTCCCCCTACAAAATTGTCCCTAATAACTCCCGCTCTGGCCAATTGATCAGCTAGACTCTTGTCTCTTGTGAGCATTCACCTGAAGAAGGTAATCAGGTTTTCAGCCAAGGCTTGCTTCTCTAACCAGAAAGACAAACCTGAGTGTCCATGGTACCTCCATTTCAATCTTTTTTTTTTTGATTGTTGACCTCTTTCAATCTTTAATCATTAAGTTAATGACTGCTTGACAATTCCCTTCAATGATGAAATGCTTCTAGCCAGCTATTTTGGTCAGTTTTAAGCCTTGAACTAGAGCTAGAACTTCCACATTCAAGGAATTTGCATAAATGACTGGACCCAAGGAACTTAGAAGAATATATCTTCTGTGATGTCTAAGCTCATCCAGTATGGTCCATCCAAATTTAATTTTTTCTTATCTGCCTCCTACCATTTAGAAAGTATATTTATAATCTTAATAGATCCCTCACACACCAATAAAAAGGTTTAGTGCTTTCTTTATGGTATTCCCCAATAAAGATGACAAAACCCAAAGCAGTGATAATTGAATATTACCTTTGCTTCCTAACAAATGAGTTCCAAAGATGCATGATCTGCTTCTCATCCTTGGTTACATCCACAAAATCATCAAGCATCTGCAACATTAAGGCCTAATAATTAGTCTAACCAAATACAGTAGGATAATTAGCAGAGATGTCAGATGTATAAATCCGAATAGCCTAAACCATAATGCCTGATAAAAGTGAAGGATACCACCAGGAAAATATGTTGTAGGAAACCACCCAAATACAGTAGGATAATTAGCAGAGATGTCGGATGTATAAATCCGAATAGCCTAAACCATAATGCCTGATAAAAGTGAAGGATACCACCAAGAAAATATGTTGTAGGAAACCACTTACCCAAGGTTACTGAAATGCTCCCCCTTCCCCCTTCAAATGCTTATATCATGTATCTAGTATTTGGCTAAGTGTCATTTCTCGATACCTATCCTGCTGAAGTTAGTTGAACTTCTAATATGCATGAGTTTTTGTAGTATAATGTGTTACAAACTACTATTTTTTAATCTAAGTTTTGATGCTATAATACGCTAACTAAAGTGTCCAGCACTATCCAGTTTTGTGTTGAGTACATATCATGTCCAACACAGTTATGCTAGGCCATTTACAGGAGCCAGGGTGTCAGACCCCAGGGATGCAACACTGCAATCATGCCAAGATAACAAAACAAGGGTCAATTCTTGGTGCAATGGCGTTATCTCAGGCTGACAAGTATGAGGTCTGAGAGCAGCCATTTTGTTCAAAAAACCACCCCTCCTAAGATCCCAGACAGCCATGGCCAACATTGGGTAATGGTCCTATGGAAGGAAACACAGCACCAAACTCTTGATAGTAAAGTGTCTCTCATGGACAGATTAAGGAGAAAGTAAAGGTGATAAGAGTTTCAATTTTATATCATGTTAGAAGGAATTTCAAGGGGTGAGGTTAACCAATTTGTGTAAGAAATGGATGCGATTTGCGTAAGTCTTCCTAAGCTATTCTATAAATCATGTTAAGCCAAGAGGGATCTTCTATAGCTCCTTATGTATACATAGTTACAGACTACCACAGACATGGGGTTTGCCCCTTACAGTTCATCCAAACAATAGAGTTAACTACCAAAACAAAATGAAAGAAACAAGAAAGAGAAGAAAAAACAAATTATACCCTTCGATCTTCAAAATCTGCAATGTCATCATCAACTTCATCCTCACTATCCTGATCTGATAGTACTTGCTCCAATGCCATTGGCTTCAACCACAAACAAAGAGTTCCGGCTTCAAAATGAGTTTGCACACACATTCAGATCAACCATGTATTTTAGTCTAATGCTAATGAAGAAAATGGGTATTTCTGTAACATGTTAATCTAGTGGAACCTTCCTACAAGCTTGTATTAAGTTCTTGTTGGATATAAGTGAGGAAACTATAATAGTAGTTCAACCACTTGCACAAATTCTTATTCGCAGTTAAAGAATAACTTTGTATTTCACACTATCAATTCACCCAGGAAACCCAGTAAGCCAGAAAAAAAAAACCCCAAATGATGCCATCATCCAATTTAAAAAGGGAGACTGCTGAATGGTTGATTTCATTTATCAACAGATTCAAATCACTTGTCTTATTTTATTTAACATAAATACCCTTACTTAACATTAGGATATATTCTAACAGTTTCAATTTTATATTTGTAAAACATAGACTAGATATACTAAATATTACATTATCATATCCCTTATTGCACATTTTAATCTAAGTTAACTAAATAAACTTATATATGGCATTGAAGCATTATCTTAAACTTTAAACATTTCACTTTTTTTGGTCAACTAGCAAGTACCAAGTACCTAGGCACCAATTGCTGGCTGTACTACCTAGGGAGGCAAAAACAACTAGTGATTGCCTAACCACATTGATGAAACTGGTCTAACCACAACAAGAAAATGCTAGATGATGACACACGAGACAAACAAAAAAACTCCAACAATTGAAAAGAAAACTAAGAAGAACAAAGAAAAATCATTGTTTATCTGGAGAAAGAGTCACCTATCACCTGAGCTCTGTGAGAATGAAAGAATTGCCGCTTCTGCAGGAGTGCACGACTGATAGAAAAAGAACATGGTCAGTTGAATTGGCTAATCAAAATTGCAGAAGCAATTTTTGATAATACAAAAATAATTTCAATAAACTCCTATTTGTCCAATTAAGGAAAAATTCTGTCTGTCCAACATAGTTTTCAAGGCGTCAAGGCGAGGCTAGGTGACAGGGGGGGCACCTTGTCACCTAGTTGCCTAGGCAATGGATTTTTTTATGTTAAAAACATAGATCCTAGGGTAGTTCCCTAGGTACCATAGCCATATTTCCTTAATTTTCAAAAGAAAAGTATAAAGTTCATATTGAAGTATAGAAAATCAACATATTCATGAGAAGAAAAAGAAGGAAAATAAAACTCAAAAAATATAGGGGCTGAACCCTTATTTTTGTTATAGGAAAAGAAGAAAAGAAAAAATATTGGAAGTAGTAGTAGTAGTAGTAGTAGAAGAAGAAGAAGAAGAAGAAGAAGAAGAAGAAGAAGTAGAATAATATATGGAAGAAGAAAATGTGCTGATTAAATGAAATTTTAAGTTCTTCCTTACTTATTAGGGGTTCATGTTTTGAAGTCTTTGAGGGTTCAATACAACATTTAGCAATGTTTGTGTTGATTAAACCCTAATAAATAAGAAAATAATAAAAGGAAATTAGTATACTATATAAACACACAAAATGATTATTTTAGTTTAATAATGTCTATTTTATAATTATAATCTTAAAAAAGAATGAACAAAAAAGTATTTTATAATAGAAAGTAAAAAAGTGCTTGGCGATTAGGCGAGGCGAGCCTCAAAGGGCACCTTGTCGCCTAGGCGCCGCCTTGACAACTATGCTGTCCAATCAGAGTACTATATTTAATGTCAGTGCTAGTTTTAGCAGTGCGGAAGCTAACTGATGTTGCACTTGACAGCACAACTAAGATATGCAATGGTGAGCTATGATATTGTGGATACTCAATGGAGTACTATAGTGTAGCAGTATGACAATTTTGTGTCCTTAGAAACACAAATATAGATTAATGAACTTACTTTCTAGGGTCAGATCTTTCAGCAGACAACTTCCTTGTCTTTGCAAATTGCAGCACGAGTGGGGGTGCAGTATTGCTTCCAGATACCGGTTGACTACATTCCAAGCCTGCAGAAGAGTGAGCTGTAGCAGTAACACCTGTAACATTAGGGCTGGATGCAACACATTCTATGTGCTCTGCAAAACAAGGATCCTCAAGACCATTGCTTTCTGTTTTATGGCTTTCATTGTGGAATCCATTTATGAACGCCTTGGAAGCATTTTCCCCTTCTTTACTGGAATGCACACCTGAGTGATGAAATTAATTTTTCAGTACATTCCGATAGATAAACACTACAGTAAGGAAAATTATCAGGCTCAAAGGATAGGAACAAGCATGCCAGTTGTTCAAGAAGCTCATGTGGCAAATCATTTGAGGCCAGGACTCAATCAGATATAGTTTCTACTAGAAAACCTTTCAAAATCAAAACTTGATCTCATCAAGTTAACTTAACCATCCTATTTATTCAAATGGATCTTTGAAAAGATATTTGTGATTACTGAGTTTGGATGATAAAAGAGTAAATCTTGGCCACATAACATGGGCCAAAAATTAATATTGACCACACAAAATCCAACTGGGATGAACCAAATGGTCCCAAACTGCCACAGCCCAGAGATGTACAACATGGAAAGGTTGAGAACATAGAACTCTTCCCCTTATGCCATGAATAAGTAAGAAAGAGATCATTCAAGTAGTAGTGTACACATACATATTGCAGGTTACCAACCATTCTCAGGTTTTTTACAGGAAATTTGATTGGAAGGCTCAGCAATTGTTGAATTCTCTGCAACAGGCATGCAAGAAATTGTACAAGCAACCTTTTCTGAAAGTCCTCCAGAAGGACCTCCAGTCACTTCAGGTGAGTCCAACTTCATGACTTGTGGATGTACATGCATTGCATTTTGAACTATGCTATTTGATCTCTTACGTCTCCGTGGCTTTGAACTGCAAAACAAATGAGTCTGCTCTTTTCAATTCTCTGTGTTTTTCTTAGAGACCTACATAGGTATTTACTGAAAGCAATGAATGATTGGAAAAAACAGCGACAGATCTAGAAATTACCAGAAGAAAAATGTTTGTAATCTTGGATCAATACCATCAGCAACAATCTAAAAGAAAGAAATGAGAAGAAAATAAACATGTTGATGGAAGGATTTTAAAAAATCAATATGTAAATACAATAGCTTTCAGGCCTACATCACTTAGCAGATTGCTAATAGTTAGACTGCATGAATGCAATTTGAGCATATGTCTGGATGATCAAACATATTATACGACACAGAGAGAAGCATGTCAGGGTGTGTTAGATATTTTCTCTTAAAATATGAAAATTCTCAAATGTCTATCAAACTGTAAATCCACAGGAGCAATTTACATAGATGAAGTAACTAAAACATGATGTTCAGTAAACAATCAGGATTTTTTTACCATAAATGACCTCAATCAGAACTGAAGGATAGCTATGTGGTTGATCTCAATCTATTATTGACATATTTTTACTTGGTTTAGGTAAATGCTTTAATGTAACAATAATTGTGCAATGGAAAGAACTAAAAATAGAATGACTTGGTCTAACATCCTACAAAGTTAAAGGGTTGTAGGAGAATTAACCATAAAAATACCTGCTAAATTGCAATAAAAATTTTAATAAAAAAGAAAAGCCTCACAAAAGAATTTCTCTAGTAAAAAAACAATTTCTTGCCTCAGATCCCCGAATATCAGTTTTTACAGAGACATTCACTGCCTGATATTCTTCAGTTACCTGTAAAATAATTACACTTGATTAATTTACATTATCTACAAGAACATGATGATCAGAAATTAACTGGATATTCCTGAAGTTCTTTACCCACCCAAAACTCAAAGTTGAACAGGTCATGTGATGAACACAAGTGACATCTGAGACCCTACAAAGCAAAATGAAGTTTTCTCTAATGTCAACAAGCATCAAATCCCCACAAGCCTAGAATCAGTATTTTACATAGAAAATGAAATAAGAAAGTAGGCAAAGACATCAGAATTATACTGAACCTTAAAGCTTGCACAAGGTACCAAGCAAAAAGTACAGGAGAAATCTTCAGTAACTGCAAGAGATAGAAAATACCAGGTCAGTAGCTCAAAAAGTTCCATATTACACCATGCAAAGATTAAAAATAAAATTAAAATCTAGTATAATAAGTTCAAGATGGTAATAGGAAAAAAGAGAGGAGAAGATAAAGATAAAATGGCGAGGACAGCTACAATTAAATGAAGACAAATATAAATTGATTTTCATGATAGAAAAACCACAACCATAATTTGCCCAACAACTTCATATAGTGAGCATACATGAAGATATTCCTAGTCCTACATTTTCTTTTTTCTTTTTTAAGAGAAGGTAACATATGTATTTCATTAAGTCTCTAGTCCCAGACTACAAGGCTACAATGTACTACTATTTCACACAGAATGAGCTCTGAGAATGATGTACAAAAGGTACAAAATTTATCACTTATAATGTCCCAGATAGCATACAAATATAGATGCTGACACAGAAAACATTATGCAACTCTGATTGTTTGAATTCCAAGATTGATAAGCAAATCATATCCTATCTGATATGATAATGCCATGCTTTTACATTTCTTTTTTTTTTTTTTTTTTTTTGAACTATCTATCTTATCTAATACTTGTATCAAATTATTTAGAGTAAAATTTGTTAAGTAGGTCATTTACATAATTTTGTTCATAAAGGAATAAAAAAGTAAGCTCTTAGTAGGTAAGAGAACAATTGAGATGAATCAAGGTATTGAGGTATGATAGGTGACCCATCTGGTCGGACATCTTGTTCCTATTGAATCCGTGCAAAAATTTGATTCAAAACAACTAAATTAAGACTGCATTAAGATAGATTAACAATAACCATGAACATAGAAGAAGTCCTTAACTTACAGAGATAAGACAGTAAACCACACTAGGAACTTGAATGTTTTGAGACAAAAAGGTAAAACACTTTGGTTTATAACAGTAGAAATCTACTGAATTAAAAAATATGAAAGAAAGTAGTTTCTTCAAGAGAGAAGGAGAAGAAGAGAAGAAGAGAAGTTGAAAGAAAAGAGAGCTGTCATCTAGCCGCCCCCTTCACTTATTATTTATACTAAAATAATAGAACAGTACAAAGACAACTATGCCCTTATAGGGCGGCAAAACATAAAACAGCA